ACCATTTCCCAGGATATTTTTGTAACAAAGATTCTCCCAGGGACAATTTGAAATTTAGGTAGTTTATCTCCCTTTGAATAGATAAAAGGAAAGAACAGAAATAAAGAGTGGAGACTCCCTTGGTAACTAGAATTATGTGTTCATCTTAGTAACACAATGAAATCCATTACTTTGAGACGCTGAACATAATTGTCAAAGCAGCTCTTAAGTATCCATCAATTATGAGAATTTTCCACATTGCAAGAAAGGCTTCTAGACAAACTGCATGTCCTCAGTGATAAGGTCAATGTCTGGCCCATGGGGCCTCTCTGTTCTCCTCTGTGACACAGAGGAAAGAAGACCTAGGTTTGAATCATTCTTCTACCACCAATGGGTCACTGGCATCAGGCATGATATCCTTTGTGAAAGCTTCTATTTTATCACTTGTAAAATGGAGATAACAGGGTTTTTCTCACATAGTGGCCCTAAATATTACATTAAATATTGTAACAGACTGAATTTTAAACTACTCTTGATAAATATTCTAAAGGAAACAAAATATTTTATTCTCAAAAATAATATTGTAGCAGAGATGAGGCACAGACCCAAATATCAACAGTATAGGAGAATGTATTTAAAGACCATTAAAAGAAAAATACAGGTGGCAGGAAGCATCAGATCAAGGACTGTAGGCGTGTCTAGAAAACTTGTGGCTTGGGGATAATTCAGTAAGGGGTCTGTGAAATACAAAATACACGTGTCAGCCTCTGCCTCCAGTTCCTGCACAGAGCTCCTAAGATCCTTGTAATTTTCTAAATGATAAGAGTACTAGGAGCATCTTTTTTCTGCCTGAAATTTGTCTTTGATCTTGGTTCCTGCCACAAAATTCCTAAATCCCTTGGAACTTCCTGCATGACAGGACTGTCTTGTTCTTATGAGGTCACGCCGAGTGGGCTCTTTGATAGCTCCTGGATGGGGGCTAGTCACCAGAAAGACCAAGCCATCAACAGCTGCCTTGAATTTTCAGCCCCACCTCCCATTCTCCAGAGAAGGCACGGGGGGCTAGAAGTGGAGTTGGTGATGGACCATGGCTATGGGATGAAGCCTCCAAAAAAAATCCCACAAGTGCAAGATTTGGAGAGCTTCTGGGCTGCTGAACGTGTGGAGGTACTGGGGAAGCAGTGCACCCAGAGAGGGCATGGAAGTTCCGCCCCCCTTCCCATGTATCTTGCCCTGTGCATCTCTTCATCTGGCTGTTCATCTATATCATTTATTGTATCATAAAATGCTCAGCATGTTTCCCTGAGCTCCCTGAGCTGTTCAAGCAAATAATCGAATCCAAGGGGGCAAAGGTCATGGAAACCTCCCATCTGCAGCCCAGCTGAACAGAACTGGGTAACCTGGGGACTGACTACTTGTTATTGGCATCTGAAGCAGGGGGGCACTCTCAAGGTTGCCCTGGACCTGTGGGATCTGATGCTATCTTTGTGTAGATAGTGTCAGAACTGAGTTAAATTGTAGGATACTCAGCTGGAATCCCAGAGAATTGCTTGCCATCGGAACCGCCCACCCACATCTAGCATCAGAGTGTTGGCAGTACTCTGAAAGTAAGAGCAACACATGGGAAGGAGGGTGTTTCCTAAGTCAGGCTCTAAAAGACAATGTGTTCAGGCAGGTGGAGTCAGTGGTAGAGAGAGTAGAAAGGGGCAGGCAGGTAAAAAATATAATGCAAATCTTGGGCAAGAGTCCACAAGACTGGCATTAGAAATGCAACGTTAGTGTCTACCGGCTATTCAGGAAAGGACTCATGTGTGCAGAACTGGATTCTTGAACAGGGATGCAAGATCCAAGGGGGAAAAAAAGGACATTTCTCAGAGGCAAGAGAAAAGTACATATTCTCCATAAGGAGGTAAGTCCCTACCTGGAAGAACACAAAGATCTGAAACCTGACAGTCTCAATGAGGGGGAAGAATGACTTACATTAAACGCATAAATAAAAATTAAGTATTTATGTGAGCAATGGGGGTGCCATGGACTTCCACATTCACTGCAGTGCAGAGATGAAAATGTCTCTTTTGTCCCTTTCCTGTTCACCCATTCTGTCCCCCTCTAACCTTAAAAGAACCTCATTATAGGAATGAGATCACTAAGCAATTGAAACTAACTCCTGACTTATGCTCTCCTGAATGCACACCCCACCTCATTTAATCTGTTGATTTTTTTATTAGCTTTCTACCCTCAGAAGCCTCCTTCGCAATCCTGCAGGCAAGTCACACGGGCAAGGGAACTTCTGAAGAGAGTCAGCCAGACTGTCCCGCAATGGAGAAGGATGCAGAATCCAACCTACTGCCTCGATGATTCACTGAGATTCTTACCCTCATTTTTCCTTTTAAAAATGATCATGGCTGAGAAGAATCTGCAGAGTTGGTCTCTGGACAGAAGTCCACCATCTCCCCATATTACCAGCTTTTCTGGTTAAAGCCCTTTGCCTTTCTACCAACACTTGCCTCTTGAATTATTTGCTTTCAAGTGACGAACAGCCAAACCAGAGTTTGGTCACAGAGACACTGCATCCACTAGTGCAAACGAGCAGCAGAGACAAGGCACAAAGTCCCAGACTGCGAACCAAACCTCTGCTCCCTTGCCTTCTTATGGTTGCATTTCTCCCTCTGGGGCTAATTAGAGTCCTTGATCTCTGTAATAAACTTCCTTGAGTTACTTTCTGTTCTAAAGGGCCACATTTGTGCTACACCTAAGGAGGGACATGGAGTGGCCAGTGGTCATGTGGGTCCAGGGCTCCAGAAAGAGCCACAGAGTCAAGAGCACAGGACACCTCATCATTTTGAAAAGTTAATGACTGCTGAACATGATTTCCTCTTCATAGGCTTACCACCAACCTCATAGCTAACTCAAATGTTACTTCTTGCATCAAACGTCACCAAGTAGAGATAGCCTCTCTCCTCTCTAAATTCCACTATAACCACTTGAAAAACGTATATTGTATAGTCTTTACACTGCTTTTTTCCCTAAAACATGGGGTAGAGGTGGCAAATTTAAGGGTCTGAGTCTGTGACAGGTTTTTGCACTCATAGGGAATTGCTGAGCCATCTCTCCCAGGTGGGGACCCCCAGAATTTTTCCCTTCTCCCTGTAGGTCACGGACACTGATCCCCACCTGAAGTCTCTGAGCCTCTTTGAGAGTCCTGGGTCAAGAAGCACAAGCGGCTTCAGAAAAACAGATGGTTTCACAATGTGACTGGACTGCACCTAAAAAACTTCGTCATAAAAATCCTGAAGCCAGGGCATCCACGTTTCCCATAACATAAAGTAGAATTAGTCCATGTGTGAATCACTTGGCTTCCATCTGCTTTTCATAAATGTCAGTGATTGAGAAATGGGGGCAGGAAAGAGCAGCAAGATGGGGAATTAATTGGACATCTATCTGCTGTCCCCTCAGAGAAATGCACAATCCTCCCACTCTCTTCCCCACAACAGAGAAAACACTTCTCAGCCTACTGCACTGAGAGGCAATAGATTTCAGAACTCCTGCAATAGTAAATTGAATTGTAAAGTTTTGCTATCTTTATATTAATTTTAAAATAATGATTGTCATATGAAAATAGTAATTGTTTAATACTTTGTTTCTGAGTTACATCATCATGAAATTGTCACCTGATGTGGTCTGGGTAAAAAAAAAAAAACTCCAAAGTTTTCTACTTTACAAACTTTTGTTTTATTTTATTGATATATAATATGCATGTTTTTCTTTTTCTAGTCTCTGAAAACAATAAAATTATGTCTATTTTGGTAAGAAAAGGCCTGAAAGTCAGTGATGAGTTAGAGAACAGTACATGTTAAGTTATTAAAGGCTAAATTTCTTATTAATCATTTAATGTGAATAGCTATGCATTAATAGATTACAGAGGCTTCTGCCATATTGGTATGTTTGAAGAGATATACTGAATTGTTAGAATGTGATGTTCTTTCTGCTATTGAGCAAAGAAAAATGCAGTGCTAGACCTCTCCAATGTAAATAACAGAGTTCACTAAGAAGATAAACAAAAGCTTAGATAATGAAGAATTATAAGGTCTTTAATGTTTAAATCTCTTTTGAAAACACTTCAAAGTTAAATCTAATTATTTTGAAGAATGGCCAAATGGATGGTTGCTGTTGTGAACATCAGATCTTAAGGGCCACACCATCGGCAAGAGAAATAGAAACCTAAGCGAACCCCATTCCCAGATCTGATGAACACTAAGCTAACATGCTGCCAAGAAAAACATTTCACATTCACCGCCCTGAGTAAGAGTCCTTCCCCTGTACATGGGAGGAAGCCATTTGCCAGATGTTGCTGTTTATTTTACACATCTCCCTCTGACTCGTGCTTATGGTCTCCTGACCTCCCCAACTTCTCCCATGCACACCACGGGGAGGAAAATCGGGACTCAGTAAACCCTGGCAAAGAAGTGCCTAGCTGTTCGAGTCAGGTCCTCGGTCTCAACATGTGTTCTTGTTTATGGGTCCAGCCTAATTGCTGACAGAAATCGAATGATTCAGCTTCCCTCCTCCAGTGCTATCTGGACATCCATCAGGAAAGCAGACTGTTTTACAACCTGGCATCACAAATGACATCTATGATGGAAACTTTCTCTTTTATGACAACAACAAACCTATTAGTGATAAATCAAGATAAAGAAAATGAAAAGAAGTCAAAACAAAAAGAAAAGACTGTGTTATTTAATAAAGGCACTCTATGACTTTAGAACTCCTAAAAGATCATGCAGATCATGCAGAATGTCGGAGGTTATGTTCACCAAATACCATTCTAGCAGGAATTTCAGTTGTGCTCTTGCTCTCTCCTTCCAGAGAATCAAACTGGCTGATTGAGGATGAAGGTCTGGATTACTGGATTTCAATGTTACACATATGTTGTTAACTTCATGCTAAAATGACACTGGTGTTCACGCAGGCCTCTGTGTCCTCAGGGGTCTCACACCCACCATGTCTACGTGCCTACTCACCAAAGCCAATGACGTCTGCGGTGGAGGCCACCTCTGCGGCTGTGTCCTGGGGTTGGCTTCTGTGCTCTCCTGTGATTCCCACTGTCCTGTCCCACTTGCTATCTTCTGGGTCCATTCCAAAAGTAGGAGCAGGGGAAGTTGGGGTGAAAGATAAGGAGGTCAGGAAAACAGATAAAGCACAGCTGAAGTCCGGTCAGCTTAGAACATTCTGCAAATGTACTCAGTAGGCCAGAGTTCCTCAAGGGTTACTCAAGGAACTCAAAGTGCTTGGATTTAAATCATCTCTAAGAATGTCTGTACATATACAGACAACCCCTGCTAGTATTCTTGAAATATTTCGTATATGCAGGGAATGACTCTGGGTGCTCAACAGTCATTGAATGAACAGTTATACAGTAATTCCTTGTATGAGAGACTGAGGAAAGATACCCTCATGATATCCTTGTTAAGATATTCGACTATTAGGCTAGTTAGTAGGACTTGACCTCTCCCAGATTTTTGGCAAAATTTCTCACTTGAAGTTAAGCAAAAATGGCCCCCATGTGATTGCAAATCTCCAGAATCCTTTAAATTCTATTCACCTAGTTGACCAAAGGTTGAAAAGTATCTAATGCTGTAATTTACATACTGCAATCCGGTATTTCATACTCAATGTGCTTTTTAAAAACATCTTTTTCAGTTCAGTAACAAACCTGACACGACTGTGATTTAGTACAGTGTTCTAAAACTATCTGTGGTGCAAGACCAGTTTTTTTTTTTTAATTTTCAATCCAAAATAGGCAGACATTTTTGAAAAATAAAATGGAGATGAATTACCAGAAAAATAAATAAAAACACCTATGTTTATTTGCCACAATAGCCAAGATATGAAAACAACCTAAGTATCCACTGGATGGATAAGAAAGATGTAAGATAGACAGATGATGGAAAGATAACATACAACAACAAAGTATTATTCAGCCATGAGAAAAGAGAAATCCTGCCATCTGCAATACCATGGATGAACCTAGAAGACATTATGCTGAGAGAAAGAAGCCAGAGAAAAGACTAATACTGTATGATCTCACTTATGTGTGGAATCTTAAAAATTTTAAAAAGTCAGACTCACAGAGTAGAATGGTGGTTACCAGGCACTCAGGGGTGAAGGAGACAGGGAGATACTCATCAAACGGCACAAGGCTTCAGTTATAAGATGAGTAAGTTCTGGGGAATCTAATGTACAGCATTGTGACTATAGTTAATATTATCTTGTATACCTGAAATTTGCTAAGAGAGTAGATCTTAAGTGTTCTCGATATCAAAAAAAAAAACTATATGAGGTAATGGGTATGTTACTTAACCTGATTATGGTAACCTTCAAAATGTATACGTATGTCAAATCATCACTGTACACATTAAATAGATACAGTTTCATTTGTCAATTATAACTCAATAAGGGAAGAAATAAAAAAGAAAAACAAAAGACAGAGAAAATACAAATGCCATTGTTTTTATCATTTAATTAAACAGACATAAAATTACACTGCCAAGTTTTTTTTCAGTTGTGCAAAAAGTTGAACACTCTCAGTTATTATGTCTGGTCACAAACTTCTCACCAGCAGTCTGGCTGGCAGTACCAGTCTGCGGATCACACTAAGGGTCCCACTGGCTTAGGGCCAATCTTCTTCCTTTTGTTCTGAATCAAGCAGATTTAGGGCAGTAACTGAGTATGTTCACCTGTGATATCCCTCCTTCCCATAGCACTAGCACTAAGGTCTCTGCAGAGGAGAAAGATTGCTCCGTGTTGTTGAAGTGCATTTCCAATATTTTTCAAGTATAAAAGAAGTTATTTTTAATCCCGTAACCTTCAACTTTTCTAAAAATTTGAAGATTAAAATATCCATCAAATGTCAGAAAATAAAAGTCACTAAGAAAATGTCTGTTTTTCAAAAAAAAGTGATTATTCTCACTTATACATCTATGTTCTCCCATTGAAATGCTACCAAGCCATATTTTCTTGGCATTAGGGAATAATGAAGATACGTGTCTAGGTAGCACAGAGCTCGTACAGATGACAGCAGGACTTCCAACACGCCGTCCTTAGAAAGGAATGGGACAGGAAGTCTGTGTCTTACGTGTTCTTTTAATCTTTCTTTCTTCCTCCCTCCCCCTCTCTCACTCATACACACACACACACACAGAGCACATACTACATTGGCTTAGCAGTTAAGTGCTTGGCTTTGTAACTAAACAGATTCCATTTAAGCCCTGATCATAGCACTTACTGAGATCTTGGGCAAGTCACTCACCCTTCTGTGCCCAGGTTTTATACTAGGTTCTCCAAAAATATTTTTTGAATGAGCAAAGGCATTTTTTTAATGGTGTTGAAGAATAGTATAGTAGAAGATGGACAAACAGCCCCATTCTTTTTGATTTGTGCCAATTTCACAGAGTTAGGTTTAAAAAAAAAACACAGGATACAGATATAGAGAACAAACTAGCGCTTACTAGTGGGGAGAGGAAAAGGGACAGGGGCAAGACAGGGATTAGGAGTTACAAAGTATCACATGCAAAGTAAATAAGCTCTAAGGATATACTGTACAACACAGGAAATACGGCCAATGTTTTATAATAACTATAAATGGAGTGTAACCTTTGAAAACGTGAATCACCATACTGTTCACCTATAACATGTAATATTATACATCAACTATATCTCAGTTAAAAAACAGTATCACGATGAAACATCCAGCAATTACTGATTCACGTCACAGTCTAAAGAACACTATCAACAACAGCAACCAGAGGGTCCTGTGAACACTGCTAATGAACCAGCACAGAACTTTCCTTCAGTGCTCGTACCCTCCTTCCTGATGGCCGAAGAATCACCTAAGCAGGCAAATAGAAAACCTGAGTTTAAAACGCCACTATTCTGTATTACTAAGTGTGTGCTCACGCATGCACGTTTTAAAAAACTGAGTCGAATCAGGACAGATATAGCCAATAAAAACCACTATTTGAATTCAACCACCATTTTAAAATTATTTCCAGGCTTTCAACATAGCATAATGAACCGAATCTACCAAAAAAACACTATCTCAAGAGAAAATTCTAAAGTTATTATTGCCCATGACCCCTTCCCTCCCTGAGAAAGATGCAGATTAGCGAGACTCACACAAGCAATGAAGTATAATTACAGAAGAGCCTTGTTACACAAAGTGCAACAGTTACAGAGAATTTTTACCCTGTAAATGGAATGGTGCAGAGGGGCCTGAAATCACAGAGGGTACAGGAAAAGGACATGGAATTTGAGATCACAGGCCATGAGAAGACCATGCTGTACTGCCAATTTTTTAGCTGCAATCTAGTTTTTGTCTAATCTTTAAAATAAAAAATGATACATACTCCCAATGGGGTGTTATGAGAAATATGTAATACAACAGATCTGCAAAGCACTTTTCTAAGTTTATTAAGTTTTCAAATGTTCTTAAAGGTGATACAGAAATACATACTCCACTTTATTTTCATTTACAAAGCCTCCATGAGGGCAGAAAGGCAGAGAGCATTGTTTAAGACAGTAACATGGAAATATACACCCTTAGAACCACTGGCATAGCCTTAGCATCAATGGCTCAAGTCCCAAGGCTGAGCAGTCTCCCCAAAAACTGCCAGACCCAAAGCAACGTCCTGTTTCCCTCAATAAATACTCCTCTTACTCTCCATTTCCTAAAGAGACAGAAAATGCAGTTTTTTTTCAACTAGCCAACATAATGGTCCTGCGGGAAGAAGAAAAAAATTTGAAGTAGTAATAAACAGAGCTGCCCTCTAAACGGTGTGAAGAACACAAACAAAGATGGAAGCAGGAATACATGCCCACCCCCTTCCTTAGCGCCGAAGGAGGAAAGCAGTGCAAAAGCTAGATGCGGAGCAATGTCCCACAAGGTCTCTATCAGCCGTGTGTGGATATTTGCATTTTGGGAAATACCCCTTCCCAAGTCATGCCGTATTCCTTGGGTCACTGTCCGCAAGCATGCTGTTCAAGTGATTCATGTTGGAAAGAGGGCCTTGCCCCACGACTGAAGACTCCTAAATTGCTCTGGTGGTTCCATCTGCCAATGCGTATTAGTTTTGGCAGAGCAGACACATGGAAAGTTGTTCTCATATTCTTTGGGTTTTATACTTTGCATGTCAGATGAAACAGCAACGCAAAACTAAAACTGTTCCAGACCAAAGAAGACTTGGAATTTAATTTGGCTCCTGGAAGGCACAGTCATGGTGGAGGGGAGCTCTAATGGCAGGCTGGAGATGGATATTCTAGACTCAGTGCTGTTGCTCCACGCCACAAATCACTCAGCTTTCTGAGTCTCAACTGCTACATCTCTGAACTGAAGAATTTATCCTGGATTAAGGTTTGATGATCACTAGTAAACCATATCAGATTAAAAGTCTTCAACAACTTTTTTTTAAATATTTACCTTAAAGGGCTTTATTTAAAACTGTATTTCCTGTTGTTAAGAGACAGAATTAGAAAGTGAAATTAAAGTAAGATTTCTACTGAACTTTTTCAGTCATTTTGTTATTCATTAAATACGTATGAGTCCGTACACTTCTAATAAAATTAGGTGAATTAAATATTACTTTTATTTATATACCTTTTTTTCTTCTCTATTTCTCCCAATGGCCAACATCACTTATAGAATGAGGAACTGTTCTTTCAAGTTATGGAAAAGCAAATGGGTATTTGACAGAGGTTAGAAATTTGTGATTTCTAACTTTTGATTTGAAAACAGTTAAAGTGGAAAAAAAAAAGAAATCGCCAACAGTTTTACCTCTGTTTATCAGCCATGGCTTAGTAACTTTCTTTCAGACTTTTTCTACGCATAAATTTTCTAAAGAAAGAAGCAGAGTTTGTTTGTTTGTTTGTTTGTTTTTTACTTAGTGCTGGTAATAGTGTATATACAATGTGACATCTTGCTTTTCTCACTGAATAGGCAAGTTAAAATAAGCATTTTTTCCAAGTCACTGAAAACTCTATATTTTATTGGTTGCATACTCTTCAACAAATGTATACCAAAATTTACAGAGCCATTTCCAGATAGATGAGCATTTTAATTAGTAAGTTGTCAAACAATTTTAATATTTGTGTGTCAGGTACATAAAGCTTTCATCAAGGGGAGAAACTGCAACGCACAGAGATGGAACAGGGGGGAAGAGGAGCAGCAGATAAATTCCAGACCTATTCAACATGCTCCCAGTGTTCACAGTAGCACTAGTAACAAAGGCCAAGTCATGGAAACAACCTAAATGTCCATGGACAGATGATCAGATAAAGAAGATGGGGTGGGTGTGTGCGTGTGCGTGTGTGTACTAGAACACTACTGAGCCATAAAAAAGGATGAAATAATGCCATTTGCAGCAACTTGGATGGACCTGGAG